GTTTGTTTTTCTGAACCAAAGGAGTTCAAAATGGAGCTTCTCCTAACTGGCCCTGTGGGTGGAGAGCAGGAAGCTGTGGAGCAAGGGCAGCAGCCTGCTTGGGCCTCTGCACCAGCCCGCTGTGCACTTCGACTGCAAAATTCGAATTGTGTGCCGATCATTCGTCCGGCTTGGTGAGGTCAGTTTGCACTCCCCCTGCGGTACAACCCAGAAACAAACCTGTCACCGAGTACGAAGAGAATGGGAGAGGTTGGCAAGATCAGATCCTCTCGCCTTAATGCTACAGGGTTTGGTTTCTAGCCACTGTGTAAAATCAGAATTTCACCTGCCAAACGAAGCCTGCTTCTAGGTTGTTTCAGTAAATGAAGGAGGGGAAGGGGAGGCAAGCAGCAAACCAAAACATCCCAAAAGAGCAAAAGGTCTTCACACGTCCTCATGTATATCTATGGATTAGAAAGCATTTCAAGTGTAGAATTTTTTCTACTTGTACAATCTAGATTCTGGATCACTTTTTAAAATAACAAACTATTATATATATATTGAAGTTATGTATTATAATAAAATTAACTCCCATGATTCAACCATTCAGCCTAATTTGGAAAACAGAACCCCTACCCACCCTGATCCCACATCTCTCTACTTATCTCAACCCCTAGAAATAACCATTTTCCTGAATTTTTTTTTCTCACTCTGTTTTTCTTTATAATTTTATCACATACTGTGAATCTCTAAACTGCATATTGTTTAGTTTTGCTTTAACTTTTTAGAGTCTTATAATACATACATTTTAATGCAACTATATTTTAATTCTTTTGCAGCCTTTCTCATCATTGTACTGATTCAGTTATATTGTTTTATCTAGCTCATTCTTTTTTTTTTAATCCTCCCCCAAGGACATTTTTGCATGTATCTTCAGATAGAGTGGAAGGGAGAGGGGGGGAAGAGAGAGAGAGAGAAACATCAATGTGAGAAAGATACAGCGAGTGGTTGCCACCCACACGACCCCAGCCGGGGCCGAGACAAACTGCAACCGAGGTACGTGCCCTTAGCGGGAACCGAACCTGGGATTCTCCGGTCCGCGGGCCGACGCTCTAACCGATGATCAAAACCGGCTAGAGCTAGCTCATTAATTTTTACTTTTGTGTTCCATTGTATATCTATACCACAAATTTCCTTATTTGATACTTTTCCTGGTTCTCATGTGCAAAGGTTTCTCTGGATGTATACTTGGGAGTGGAATTATAGATTCAGTCTAAAAAAATAATGCTAAATTGTTATCCAAAGTGGTTGATCCCAATTATGTTCCTGCCAGCATTGTGTAAGAGTTCCCATCTGGCACATCCCTGCCAACATGCATCTTCTAACGTTTTCATTATTGCCAAACTAGTGCATATAAAATGATGTCTTCTTGTGGTTTTAATGTTTATTTCACTGATTACTTATATTTCTCATCTGAGAAACACCTGTCCTGTCTTTTGTCCATTTAAAATACGAGTTTCTTTTTCTTTTCCGTAAAGATTCAGAGGAGCTCTGTGTAAAATTCCTTTTCATTTATATGTTTTCATATATCTTCAGTTTGAAGCTTGTATGTTTTCTCTTTTGTTCGTATTTTTTTAGAAGTTCTCTTTTTTTTTTTTTTTTTTAATCCTCACCCGAGGACATTTTTCGATATTTTGTTCAGATAGAGTGGGAGGGAGGGAGAAAGAAGGAAACATCGATGTGAAAGGGTCATGTCGAGTGGCTGCCTCCCACATGACCCAACCAGGGCCGGGGACAAACTACAACCGAGGTACGCGCCCTTAGCGGAATCGAACCCGGGTCTCTGCGGACCGCAGGCCGACGCTCTAACCGCTGAGCCAAACTGGCCAGGACAGAAGTCCTCAAGTTTACTAAAACAAATTAATCATGTTTTCTTCTAGTGTTATGTTTTGCGTTGGTGACGTGTTTATGAAAACCTTCTCTACCCTGAAGTCAAAACAGGTTCTCAGGTTCTACTCCAGACCTGCTGGGTCAGAAACTGTGGGCGGGGCCCAGAGAAGAGGGTTTTCACAGGCCCTGCAGGTGATTTAGGTGCGCACTACTGTGTGAGAGCTGGCCTAAGACAAACGCCCCCCAATGGCCAAAAGGCTACATCACAGTAATATGAATGAAAATCTTAATTTCGCTTATGATTTTCTGTGAAGAGTATTGAAGTTTTGTCTTTTGTCTTCTGGAATTTCTTCAGTGTATGATGTGATATTGTGATCCAACTTCATTTTTTTTCCCCATGTGGGTAAACTGTTTCCCCAGTACCACTTATTGAACTGTCCCTGTCCCTGCCACTTACCTACAATGCCAGTTTTATCATATATATTTTCCTCTGTGCAGTATAGAATGGAAGAGTATAGAGGAATTGAAGTATATAGAAGTATTTAAGAAGTACACAATAGAAAGACATAAGAACCTTGATTTGTTCTTATTTTGAAGAGAATATTTCAGTAGTTTACTGCTGAGTAGAGATGCTTCACATTTCTTTCCGTTGCAGTTTGTGAAAAGGTTTTGTTTTTCTTTTAAAATCATTAATGGATGTATAATTTTATTGACTGCTTTTCTGTGTCTGTTGAGATGAGTATTTTTTTTTTTTTAATTTATTAATGTAGTTAATCACATTCATAGACTTCCTAATGTTAAACTTGGGTGAATGAAATACATTTTTAGTTGTCTCAAGATTCTCTTTTACTGTCTGAAATATCCATATTTTTATCTTCTGCTGTTTTATTTGTGTGCTAACTGGGTTTTTCATAAGTGTCATTGCACAACTTTATGATTGTCGTTTAGCAAATGGAAATTTGGCCCCTGCCTTTTTCCTTGCTCAGGTGCAGATTAGGTCGTGTTTAATAACTCAAGACTTGGAATCAGAGTGACCTCAGTTTGAATTGAATTCCTCTATTTGTAGTTGGTGGCACTGGACAAATTACTAAGCTTTTCTGGACATAGATTGCTCACCTATAAATTAAGTATTTTGATACATTCTTCACAACATCATAAGAATGAAAGCTAACTAATACATAGACAGGCTCAGCCTAGGGCTTAAGATACTGGAATGTTGCAGGTCAGCTGTTGTTATTAGAAATATAAATCTTTGGTAGGCTCCTTTATAACCTGAAGATGGCATTTTTCATTTTCACTATACACCATAGGCACCTTCATGGTTGAGAACATGCCTTTTGTGTCAGTGAAATTCTATTCATGAATCCAATCACTTATTCAACAGAGTTAATTATCTATTATGTATTGGATACCTTGTTAGGTTGTGGGTGATACATTGTTTCACAAGACAAGGATGGGCCCAAAGAGATATGATCTCTGCCCTCATGAAGCTTACAGGGGAAGACAGGGAATTGAGTACTTGGTAGACATTTTGTATATGAAGTGTTCTGGGAGAGCTCTCAAATGGTAGAGGGGATAAAGGAAATCAGACCAAGACTTGAAGTTGTGAGCTTGGTGGTGAAAGGAAACAGTATTCTAGGTGGATGGAATAGTATGTGGGTAAAAGTTCGCTTTATTTGAAGAACAAGAAGGAGGTCAGGCTGCCTGAAGACGAATTGGAGGCTGGACAAAAGTAAATGCAGAGAGACTAGCTTGAAGGCATTTACAGAGGTTCAGATGAAAAATGATAGTGTTCTGGAGAAGTAACAGCAGCAGTGAGAAAAGTGGATAGTTTCTAAAGATATTTAGGGGGTAGAATTAATGGGATTTGAAAAGTCAGTGCTATAAGGGGTAAGAGAGAGAATTACTTGCAGGCTTGAGCAAATGGGTGGATGAGAAAGGAAACATTAAAGGGGGAAGAGTGGGTTGAGGAGTGTCATGGAAAATAAGGTTTGAAAACTGTCCACTGGATTTAGTGACCTGAAAGCCAGTGATGACTCTAAAGGAGAATTAGGAACATTCTGAACCACCAAGGGTGTGTGTGTTGGGGGGATTGGGGGGGCTTTTGAACCATTTCTAATATATTCAGGCATTTTTAACATTAAATGAATGGACCGACCCCTTTACATAGGAATCTTGCTGGCTTCTCTACAGAGAAGTATTCTGCTAGGGATTTAATTATCAAGGAAATGAAAGCAACTTTTCTTCCTTATAAACAAAATTGTCAACTTCTTAGGTTGACCTGACTAAACATGTCCTATTGTAATTGGTTTTAGTGACTTAAGATTTTTTTAATTTCTCTTTCTACTTCGCAACCTTAAGGAAATTGATTTAAAAAACAAACAAACAAACAAGCCCTGGCCAGTTTGGCTCAGCGGTTAGAGCATCGGCCTGCGGACCAGAGAGACCCGGGTTCTGTTTTTGCTAATAGCACGTACCTCGGTTGCGGTTTGTCCCCGGCCCTGGTTGGGGTCGTGTGGGTGGCAGCCACTTTGTGTGTCTCTCTCACATCGATGTTTCTCTCTCTCTCTTCCTCCCTCTCTCCCTTCCGCTCTATCAGAAGATAAATGCAAAAATGTCCTCAGGTGAGGAAAAATAAATAAAATAAAATAAAATAAAATAAAATAAAATAAAATAAAATAAACAAGTAAGTACCAGAATATTCACTGTAGCCTTCTTAATGTAATGATAGCAAAAAACTGGAAACAAGAACATTAAAAAATGAAGAACTGAATCAATTCTATTACATTCTTAAAATAGAATATTAGCCATTACAAAGAAAAACTAGATAATCATGTGTTGATATGAAAAGATATCCAAAAACACAAGATGCAAAACAAATATGTATAGACACACACACATTTGTTTATATAGGCACAGACATTTTCTGGAAGGACGCTTCAGCAGGCGATGATAGGTATGATCTTTAAGTAGCGGAACTGGAATGGGGACACTTACTTTTCATTTTACACCCTTGGTTCTATGTGAAATGTTTTCTCATTTTGCACATATTGCTTTAAAAATAATAATTTTTAAATTACTGCAGTTAGAACTTAAAATTAAATGTAACCTTTGCTCTTTTTGGTGTTTAGCTTCTCCTAGGTGTTTCCGTTTTTCTGCTCCCTTTGGCTCCGCTTTCTCTCCGAGCGCTTCTCATGCCCATACACGTCTATTCCGGACTTCTCATCTTTGGAACAGTGATCGCAACAGCCCTTATGGGAGTGACTGAGAAACTGATCTTTTCCGTGTAAGTTATATAGTTTTCCTAACTGTATACTGAAGCTATAAAATGTTAAATACTTGTTCATTGGAAAGAGGTAATAAAATGTAATAAAAATTTTTAAATATTAAACTTTAAAAATTTTAAATACTGCCCTGGTCGGTTTGGCTCAGTGGTTGGAGCATCAGCCTGCGGCCTGGAGAGACCCGGGTTCAGTTCCCGCTAAGGGCATGTACCTCGGTTGCAGTTTGTCCCCAGCCCTGGTTGAGTCGTGTGGGTGGCAGCCACTCAATGTGTCCCTTTCATGTCGATGTTTCTCTCTCTCTCTCTCTCCCTCCCACTTTATCTGAACAAAATATCAAAAAATGTCCTTGGGTGAGGATAAAAAGAGATAAAAATAAGAAAAAAATTTTTTTTAATATTTAGTCTTAAAACACTTATTATGATATACAATATAGCATTGTATAGAAATACAATATGACATTGTATCTATTATATAATACAATGTAACATTACTAATGCTTGAAGGACCAAAAAGTCCAACATATTGTACTGCTGTTAAAACAACTATTGAAATTATGCATGCCTTTACAATCTTTTTCATAGGCATGTGTTTATTAATTGTAATTATGGTGTATATACAGTTTTATATCATCCTTTTTTCATTTTTTAAGTGATACAGGTGCTGTAGATGTTATGTTATTTTTATACTAATGATTTTTTTAAACAGTATCATACTATTCCATTGAGTGAATTACAGCATAAATGTCTCCTTAACATCAAGCTTTAAGGGAATTTGCATGGAAGCTGCAATGGCATGCACTTTGAGCAGATGAATTCAAAACTGTTTGACATGTTGCTGTCTCACTCTACTTGTAACTGAACTCTAACCCTCCCCCGTTCTCTCTCTCTCAGGAAAAATCCTGCCTACAATACATTGCCACCAGAAGGTGTTTTCACAAATACCCTTGGCCTTCTGATTCTGGTGTTTGGGGCCCTCATTTTTTGGATAGTCACCAGACCACAATGGAAACGTCCTAAAGAACCAAATTCTATCCTTCTCCAGCCGAATGGAGGCGCTCCAGAGGGAGTGGACGGCCCCACAGCAGTACACTTTGGCAACATGGACAAATCAGATTCAGAGTTAAACAGCGAAGCCGCAGCCAGGAAAAGAAACATTGCCCTTGATGAGACCGGTCAGAGGTCCACCATGTAAGATGTTGTAGAGATGGAGCCCTGTAACTTCTTTTGAAAAGTAGTTCTACGGTTTAGCTTCTCCTGTTTAGCCACAAGATGATTGAGCTTCCTAGAGTTTATATTTGTTTTAATCATAATGTAGAATTTCTTGAAAGAGTATGTATTGATCGAGGCCTGTGAATTTACCTGAATTGGAAAGGAGATGGTCAATGATAGCAGCTATGAACTGTGGTTCTGTTACCTCTTATTGAGGACCAAAGCATCCTGTGCCTTACAGAGAACAGATACTCAAACTGTGTCTGTTGGTTGGTAAATCTGATAAAGTAGCAGCCCTGGCAATTTCTCCAAAACTCAACTTAGTACCAGGCTTCCCGGGGTTTGGTATATTTTATGATCTGGATTCCAAACTTAGTTAAAATGAGAATATGCCTGAATTCTTAAGCAGTATAAACTGCTCCCAAACCTCAAAGAGCACTTTTTCTAAACTTTCTGTGTTTTTTTTTTAAGTAGTTGGATGGCACTTTATTCTAAGCACTTTATAAATATTAGCTCATTCAATCCCCAGACAAACCTTATGAGGTAGGTACTATTATTATCTTCGTTTTGTAGAGGAGAGATCTGAAGCTTGGAATGGTTAGTAACTTGTCCCCAAGGTCATAAGTGGTGGATCTAAGATTCCAAACCTGCCAGTCTGACTCCTCAGCCCATGAGTCTAACCACTTCACTTTTCTATTCTGTTTTATACTAATTTGCACCTATCTTGACCCTCCGCTAAATAAATTTCAATTGCTGGAGTGCAGTGGAGTAGTTAATGTTTACCTTCTGGCTTTTGTCTTCCAAGGCAGATTCCTCAGCTAACCAAAAAAAAAAAAGGGCCCAGCCCTGCCTGGAAAGAGATCATGGGTCCCTTTCCACGGCCAGCAAGCCGTGGCCTACCTTGATGCCTCGTTCTTAAAATTGTGTCTTGATGACTAAGAAAGTTTTGGGCAAGAACATTTGTAGTTTTCAAGATAATCGATTAAGATTTTTGTTCTTTATGGTCTTAGCTATTGACCAGTCTCGGGTTTGAAGATAGGAGAGACACCTCGTGGTCTGCCCTTCTCGGGGCAATGGCTCTGGTCCTGCCAGGTTTGGGTGGGATTTCAGGGGATATCTTGAGCTCTGTGTTCTCAGTAGTGAATTGAGACTCAGAGCTGACAGCTTTCGTGCATGGAGACCTCTCTGAGCTGGCTCGCATTAAAACCTGGAGTAGGGCCTAGGCTGAAATGTTTTTTTTTTTTTTTCATTTTGGGGTCAATCTTGGGTTTCATTTCGGGGTCAATGTTAAACTGGAGCATTTTAATGTAGATAAAAACCTTACAGTTTTACACCAACTACACTGAATTTTTTGGTGCTTAGTGAATTTCCTTTTAGGATAACTGATAATTACTTCTATAGATTGAATATTAAACATACTTCATCACATGCTTTAAGCTTCACGGATAGCCATTCAAAATTCCCTCTCCAAAACACTGTTTTCTTATGTAATTTTATTTCCAAAATTGGCAATAGTGTCAGGAGGATTGTCAGTGCCTAGCTCAGTGCCTGGCATGTAGTAAGAACAATTCAGTTATTATTATTATTATTTTTAATCCTCACCCGAGGATATTTTCTCAAATATCTTCAGATAGAGTGGGAGCGGGGGAGAGAGAGAGATACTTTGATGTGAGAGGGACACATTGATTGGTTGCCTCCCGCACACCCCCGACCAAGGCCGGGGATGAACCACAACTGAGGTACATGACCTTGGCCGGAATCGAACCCGCGATTCTTTGGTCCGCGAGCTGACGCTCTAACCGCTGAGCCAAACTGGCCAGGGTGGCACAATTCAATTTAATATGAGTAGAGCACGGTACAATTGTGGTGCTAATTGGGAGTACCTCCATGGTCACTCACACACACACACACACACACTAAATGGATGTTTCATTGCATGGAGGGACACAGAATTCCAGGAGTTGGGCGGGAGAGATCTGTAACAGCCTCAAAAATTGAAACTGCCATTCCATTTTATATAGGCCAAGTAAGAGGTTATTAGTGAAAAGTTAATAATGGGTTTGGGGCTAGAACATTCTGCTCCATTGCAAAGTATTTGAGCACCCCTCATCTCAGCCCTTTATTTCATCTTTCTTGTGGGCTAATGTGAGGGTAATCTTACAGATATTATAGGGTCTTCTTCTTTTCTTTCTCAGCCTTTATAAAAACAGTGCATAGTAAAATATACCTAGGAAAACTTTCTGTTTGAGACTTCTTTTAATGGGCTTTCTATTCTAATGATAATTGTACCTTTATCTTTCAAAAGCTAACATTTCCTACCTAAAGCATCTCCCCAGCAAAATATCTCATTAAAAAGCCCACAGAAAGAATAGGGGAGAAGAAAGCCTTAGGTATCAATTCCAAAAGCGTGACTGAAATCTCTACAAATAATTATAGCTTATATCATCTGCAGAGATAATCTGGCTTGGTTTACCCCATAATCTAGTTTCAGGGGGGGGGAGTTTTATTTAACACTCATGTAAATCAACAATAAAGCCTTTTCTCTCAAAGGGTTTATTGAGAAACTCAAATGAGTATATGTTTTGGTTTTAACGTTATCAAAAGTGTACAGCTTCCTATGCTCCCTGTGTCAAACTGAATCCACCCTCCAAAGTACTTTCTTTCCTTCCCTTGTGTGGTTTCGTGTAAGCTGTGATGGTGAGAAACAGCATCTCAGACCTTACGATTAAATGCTAAAGGCAGCGATTGCACTTTTGAAGGGATACTGACAGGTGATTTCTGTTTTCTAAAGGACAAAATGAAGAGGATGCCTTGTTTTTAATTAGGCTCTTTTCCCGGCCTAATTAAAGTTGGAAATTCCAGTGCAATACTGATTGACCACAGCTGCCAAATCTGAAGGCTCAACGAAGAAGTAGAGCTTTATGCTAGTTTTGTTGCAGTATGATAGAATTTCTATCTGGGCATGTCCTTTTTCAGGTTTACAACTGAAAACTGTAACTGCTATGTCTCAGAGCTACACAGAGGGAAGTCTAGAAGAAAGAAAACTATTATTCTTTATTCCTATATAGTACCTGGAAAAGATTTCTGTATTTGAATTTGTCTTTTTATCTCAGTACATTTATGGGAAAATATTACATAACCTGAATATTTTTAAATTTTGTAGAAAAATGTAGCATCTCTTTGTCTTGACTTGTTTTTATATAGTAATAAATTTATTTTGGAATCTATTTGTCTGTTATGAATTTATTTAGGCTAGTAGCTGTAGGCATTGTTCTAAAAGTTTCTTTCCTGTGGAAAAAAGATTTTAAGTGTCTTTATTAAATATGCTGTCCGATTTCTCTCTGAGTACCAGACCCTGAGTATTTCAAACGTGCCATGGTGGTCTCCTCGGAAAGGGTCTGAACCGGAGCAGCCAGGCGGATGAAGCAAAAGTTTCTGTCTTGTGTGTCTTCCCTTGTTTTTGTCCTCATCTGCCTCCCTACTGTGTCTCCCTCAACTTTATTACAGTTAGTCTAATCGTGGACAGCGGCCCTAGTGCCCAAGAGACCTCACTGGGTTGCACAGTAAACATTCTTAGCGAAGGATCTGAGGAAGGTTCTGATTAGGGCACATAGCTGGGCCCCAAGAGAAACTGGGCAAAGGTAGGGCAGTGCCTGAGAGGCAGAGATACAGCTAAAGGCCCGAACAAGTTTCTGGCCCAAACATCTACTCTTTGGGCCCTAATTAGAGACTGCCTTGATCCTGTGCAGGAGGCTAACGAGGTGGGGAAGCCAGGTGTAGTGAAAGACCCCAGGAAAGCCGAGAAAGGCTGAGTCCTTAGAGACTCCCCCACCGTCTTCCGCTGCAGCTGCGATTAATTTTGTGCTTTAAGGGCCTGGAAGGAGCTCCCAAGAAAAGAATGGGAGCAGCTATGTCCAGGAAGAAATCGGGTAAACTGGGGCAGCAGTAGTAACTCTGGACTGTGTCGTCTTGTCAAAGTCCTTGATTAGGGGAACTTCAACCCAATGGGCTGAACTCATAGCCCTAATCCAGGCTTCCCAATGGGGCAAGGGAAAGTGGGTAATCATCTACCCTGACAGCTAATATGCCTTTGCTACAGCACACATGCATAGCGCCATCTACAGGGAATACGGGTTATTAACCTCGGCTGGGAAGGACATCAAAGAGGGAACTTCATAGAGGCACAGGAAAATCTGCTGCACCAGGAAGCTTGAGAAGAAGCCCTAAAACCAGTGGGGCTTCTCCAGATACACTAGGTCAGAAAATGACTTAGCTGAGCAGAAACAAGCCATGGTGGACACTGCCTGATGGGAGGTTGTTGGTCCCAGAGGCTCTAGGTCAGACTTTAGTCAAGCAGCTACACCAGACCACCCATTTAGGTTACACCAAGCTTACTGAACTCCTGAGAGGCAGGTAATGTCCAGTGTGGTCACAGGGAAAGGGAGAGGCAGAGGGAAGCAGGGTATGTGTGGGTCTGAGTAGGGAGGAGGAGAAGAAAAACTGGGGAATGTGCAGACTGCAGATAGGTTGAGCAAGCTCTCAGGTTTATGTCGGGGGAGAAACTAGGAAAGTCGCAGAGGGTCTATGCAAGTTAAAGAAGGATTGTGTAGAGGGAAGAAATAAAAAGAGAAGGATTACGCAGAGGAAATAAAAATGTAAGAAAGGATAAAAGAAAGAAACATACATATTATTAGGAAGACAGGACACAGAGAGGAAGAGCTTGCCCATGGTAATGGAATAACAGTCTGGGATGTAGTAAAGGGAGTAACAGGTTTAGGCTACTCCTGACCCTTGAATCAGACAGTGCCCCCCCTTTATAGCAAAGAGGTCATAGGATATCTCTAAAAGGTTAGATATAAATTGGAAGCTCAATTGTTCTTACCGCCCACAGAGTTTCGGGCAGATAGGGTGCATGAACAGGACCTTAAAGGAAAACTTAACCAAATTTACTTTAGAAACCAGTGAAAACTGGACCACTCTGCTCCCCCTTGCCCTCCTACAATTCTTCCAGGCCCTGCAGTCTGCCCAGACAGCTGTCTATAAACACGTCTGCGATGCCCTGCCTGTGCCCACCTCGGACCCTGTGCACCCTTTCCAGCCCGGGGACTCGATATGGGTAAAGAAGTTCACCACTCAGGGCCTAACTCCAGCCTGCAAGGGACCATACACTGTCATCCTGCCTGCACCGACGGCTGTCAAGGTCAACGGCATCCGATCTGGCAGCACCATTCCCGGCTGAGGGGCAAAAAGCAAAATGGACGGTTCAGGCCCCTCCAGATAAGACTCTTACACTTATCAGGACTCTGATTTTTCTGGTTATGACTGTTCAGGGAAATCCTTATAGACCTGGGCCCCAGTGGAACTGGGAACTTAGAAATGGTCCTACAGAACAGGAGAGGATTAGACCTATTTCTTTTTTATTTTATTATTATTTTTTTTTATCCTCACCCAAGGACATTTTCTCATTT